TAACACAACCACATTCGCACATCTGCACATATAACGTCGGGTCTGGCCCACGAACGAGGGGATAAAATGATGAGAGAGTTACATCGAATGCATCTCAAGTGAGACAAGTATGCGAGAACCACCAGCTAAACGACGCAGACTCACTCTTGCATTTCACATGCTGGGCTTACGTCGTTGACTTTCCGAGACTGACCGGGGTTAGCAGCTTCTTAACCAGACCCTCAGGGAGCAAGAATACTTCTGACCTTGTGGCAAGATGCCAAAAATGACTAGTCTAAGGTCATCTAAGTCTATACTGAATTTGCTTAAGCCTTTTTGTATAGATGTCCTAAGTTTTCTTGCTCCCTGAGGGCTAGGCATGTTTTGGCAAGGAAAGTCGGTGCCTTGCACTATCGAGATGCACGACGTCAGATCAGCAGGTATTGAGTATCAAGGATGTAAGTCTGTGTTGTTCATTCAATGGCGATACTCTTGATCTGCTCTGCCGTATCACTCAATAAACTGGATGACCACTGATACATGGCATGATGACGCGCTGTTCAGATATCAAGAACTAGCTTTATTTCAGAGTTAAATGCTGACAAGATTTGAAGATACTATGTAATTAGAGCTTACGAACTAATAATTTGACCTATATCGAATCACTCACTAATTATTAGAATACGGTTTCTCGGCAACGTTTTGAATTAATGCCTCTATTCCTTCAGCCACATGCTTGCTTAAACGACAACAGCCTGTCTGGTTGTCACACGATGCAAAGTGCAGCGCTTCGCATATCGCCAAGAATGCGATGCAGTTCCGTGGATCACCTCGTGCCGTTCTTCCAGAGTTTCTTTTCAATGTCTCGGTCGCCAAGATCGCCAAGGCCTGTCATGGGTCACTATGGCGTTCGGCGTACAGCGAACAAATCGATCCATTTCCGTTCCATTTGTAAATCCCCCTCAAACTCCGCCAGACGCAGAAAAAAGAAGGAAAAAAAACAGCGCAAAAGAAAAGTTAGTTTAGCGCTCGCTCAGTGATAACTTCAAACACGGGGTTGTATTGAACTCCGTTCATCTCATTCTCCGCAGTCCGCGGAGCTTTCAAGACTCCGCATCCATGCACCAGAAACAAATCTTGTGTTCGAGAACTTTGATCTTGTGGAGTCACGTCACTCAAATCGTCGTCTAAATATCCACTTGTGGGCATCTAAAATCCAATCCCGTGCTTCTAACCTTCTGAACTTGGCCTGATAGTTTGAAGACTGGCCACGGACAAGATCAAAACCCCGTCGGGCCCGGCCACTCTCAACCCCCGACTCCGACGTCAACATCATCAACTTATCCTTGTTTGTACCTGACAGCGGCACCGAGAAATCTATTCTGAGCCGTTCAACTGCCGTATCGCCGAACTACCGTGGTCCATCTATCCACTTGGCAGTTCACATTCACGATTCATACTCGATCTTGATAGTCCTCCATAGAGTTAGCCTCCACTGTCCAACAGCCGTTGAGCCTCAAAATCTGCCCGTCTTGGCTTTTTCGTCTTGGTCAGCCAGCCTAGCCCAGCCTTACTGGTCTTAGCCGCATTGCACCACCCACCTTGGGCCAACTATCTATTGGGTATCACTATCAACATCATCATCCAACATCCGTTTGTCATCGGCGAGTTTTCTGGTGAGACATCTACCCAATAATTATCTGGGTCTTTGTCAGACACGGGCCAACTCTTGTTTTTGTCGCTGTCACAAACCCACCGAGGTCCGAGGCTTTGATATCCAGCCCCCAGCTTGACATCTTCACACTTCAGCTTTCAGCCACAGCTCGCACACCTAGCCAAAGATGAAGTTAGTATCACGCAAGGTCCCCAAGACCCTCGAGGACGAGACCGTTTCTCTCCTGCCCGAGGATCCCGAAGATATGGTCAGCAGCCCCTGTTATTTGCTCCCTTCTAAGTTTATACCCCTGGTCTGCCATGTCGTTTTCCCTCTATCGACCCTTAGACCCTGCTTCGATTCCTATTGTTACCCCTCCCCTCCAACGTTGTCACACCCTCCGCGGCTCGACTCTGGCCTCGATATGCTGCTGGCCAGCATTCACCTTATACCACATGTCTCGCACTTTAAGCCACTATCTGTTCCGATTCCCACCGATGTCACCGCTTGTTCTTATGAGACAGCACGCTAACAATGTTGATAGTGGCATGCATACAACCTCATCCTATCTGGAGATATCATCCATGCTCACGCTATCCGTAAAGTAGTCACGACTTCAAACACTGGAAGCACGGCATCTGAGCGTGTTCATACTGAACTGGCTATCAAGGTCAAATCCACTTTCTTCGATCCTATCATTTCATCACTCCGTGTCTCTGGAACCGTCGTTGTAGAGAACCCATATGTCACCCTAGGCTCTCATCATACCCTCGATCTCGAGGTGAACCGCCCATTTACTATCATCAAGCCAGAAGGATGGGACTCTGTCGCAAGAGCTACTCTCCAAGAGACATTATCAGATGACAAGGATGGTGCCGTAGCGGCCGTTGTCATGCAAGAAGGACTTGCCAACATCTGTCTTATCACACAGTTCCGAACCGTCCTCAAAGTCCGTGTTGAGAGCGTGATTCCCAAGAAGCGTGACCTTGCATCAGACCAAGATGCAGGTATGCGCCGCTTCTTTGAGAAGACCTTGTCGACTCTTCTACGAACCATGGACTTCACACAGTCACGGCCGTTGTTACTGGCCAGTCCAGGCTTTGTGGCTGGAGACTTCAAGCAGTACATCGCCAACCAAGGACGGGATAAAGCAGACAAGGTGCTTACAGCCGTGGCAAAGCAGGCTACGGTGGTTCACTCCAACTCTGGTCACGTCCACAGTCTCAACGAGATCCTCAAGAGCCCTGAAGTCTTGGCCAAGATGAAGGATATGAAGTTCGCTCGTGAAACGCAGTATGTTGACCAATTCTTCGACATGTTAAAGCTGGACGATGGACGTGCATGGTATGGTACTTCAGCTGTCGAAAAGGCCGTCAACGACGGAGCCGTTGGGCCAGGCGGTGGTGTCTTGCTGGTCAACAACTCCCTATTCCGAAGCGAAGACCTTGCCCTTCGCAAAAAGTACGTCGCTCTGGTTGAGAAGGTACGGAGTGATGGTGGAGAGGCGAGGATTCTCAGCAGTGATCATGAGAGTGGACAGCGATTGAGTATGTTGGGTGATATCGCTGCCATACTCAACTACCCAATGCTGGATCTTGATGACGACGATGCCGATGAAGATAATGAGGCAACTGGGGAGCCTACTATGGAAAATAGTGTCATCTAGTCAAACAAGGATAGACAAAGAAACGAAATATGAATTCATGAGGCCCTATCGCTGTGGTGTTACCCTGTACCGTTTTGTGAGACTCAAGAGGACATCGCTCAGTTTGCCACAACTGTACATCCCCAATCTTCACCTAAGAATGTATAGTACGTAGCTGACCTCCAATTTATTTTTAACTCATTGCATGTCTCATAAAGATCACTCAAATGGAAGTCGTCGGTTTTCTAGGCGTTAAGTAAACAAGATTGACAATGTGGTGCACGTAATTATCCCCGCATTTTCACCCGACTTCAAATATCGAATCCACGCCACGATCATCATGATAGCACCTCGGGGCTTATCTGATCTATAAACGCGAGAGTACGAACTCATGTCTTAACTCCGAGCTCCGAAGATACTTAAAGATATCAAACAATTTTGTTGTTGATCAAATGTTGACCTTGTTGAACTTGAAACTATATAAATGATTCATTGTCCTTACCTCTCCTACCCCTCATCCCAAACATCAACTCAACATCAAACAAAAAGTGTTCATGAATTTCAAAATGGCCTCTAAACTCGCTCTCGACTCTACCAGGAAGCTCAATTCAGGCTACCAGATCCCTCTTCTTGGCTATGGAGTAAGTGATCCTTCAATCCTTCGTTTCGCACCCTGCTAATGTAACTGCCTAGGTCTACAAGGTGTAAGTCCACGTCATGTTCCGGAGGCATTATGTACTCTAACCACGTCATTCAGTCCCGCTGAACAAGCTCCCGATCTCTGTAAGAAGGCCATCGAGATAGGCTACCGCCATGTGAGTTTATCCAAAGTCTTTGGTGTTCAATACCCAACTAACATATTCAGATCGACTCTGCTTCAGGGTACTACAACCAGGGCCCTAGCGCAGCTGGACTCCTGGCGTCTGGCGTGCCTCGCCCGGAGCTCTTCTTCACTACCAAGATCTTCACCAGGCAGTTTCCCCTCAACTATGAGAATGCACACAAGCAGGTAGACATTGCTCTCGACGAGACGAAGCTCGATTATCTTGACCTCGTCCTTATTCATGCCCCGTACGGTGGGCCTGATGCCCGTAAGGGTGCTTGGAGAGCTCTTGCTGAGTGCGTTGAAGCCGGCAAGGTGCGATCACTTGGTGTTTCCAACTACGGCGTTCATCATCTAGATGAACTAGAGGCATACATTAAAGAACTCGACGCCGAGCTTGGACCAGGCAAGGGAGGCGTCATCTCGGTCGGGCAGTGGGAGGTGCACCCGTGGCTGACACGACCTGACATTGTCAAGTGGTGCCAGGATCGAAACATTGCAGTTGAGGCTTACTGCCCCATTGTGCGTGGTGAGCGATTCGATGACCCCAAGGTCAAGGCCCTTGCGGACAAGTATGGCAAGAGTCCAGCACAGGTTCTTCTTCGGTGGAGCTTGCAGAGGGGTTATGTTCCTCTGGTGAAGAGTGTAACGCCTTCAAGGATTCTGGAGAATGCTCAATTGTTTGACTTTGAATTGACGGAGGAGGAAGTGAAGGATTTGGCAACTGATGAGTATAGCCCTTGTGCTTGGGATCCTACTCGTGAGCCTCTTGAGAAATAGATATCACGAGACGCAATACAAAAGGAACATCAATAGATTCACTAAAATTTAAGAATCTGAGAAGTTCGTTATCAATAATTCAACGGTCTTGCTGTTGCGAGAATTGATGTTCCTGTCATAGTTATTGTTCATGGACTCACGTGATCTCGTTTCTACCTCGCGTCAGTCCCCTCCCCCACGCGTTCCATGCCACTTCCAAACTCAATCACCACCACCAACCTCATCCCACTACATCCGCCTGTCGTGCAACCTGGCCAAATGTCGTCTCAAAGTTCAACATGGGCCAGCGCACGTTCACGGTCATCCCGAAATTCCCGGGTCATGCGGATTCTCCCGACAAACCGCCCTTGCGGCCCATGACCTCGAAACAAGTCCGGAACGCCTACAAAGCAGCCAATAAAGGCCCTAAACTCACACGGGAAGAGTCACGGAGACAAGAGAGGGCTGAGCAGGAAAGAATCAGAAAGGAATTCGAACGGGAGAAGGCGGCTGCTAAGGCAAAGGTTGCGAGGGACAAGAAGAAGGAGAAAGAGTTAGCGGAGAAAGAAGCGAAACGAAAGAAAGGATTGCCTCTGGTGAATGTTCGACCCAGTCAAGAAACGATTTCATGGTTTGTGAGAGGGAATAGTACTTCAAAGAAGAGAGACGCCCAAGGGAACAGCGTTAAAGACGAGAATGCGACAGCGAATGGGAGTAATACGGACATGAATGAAGCGATAAGAAGCGATGAAGAACCACAACAACCGGCGACTAAGGCGCAGAAGCTTGATGGCATACACGAAGACGATGAGGAAATATCTGATGCTGCCATGGAAACCATTGTCGAGGACCTACCACCCAAACCCTCACGGGAATCACCAAACCCTCAATGCCCTGAGATGGAAAAAGAGGCAATTGCAGAACCTACAGAACAAACAGAAGCCCTTGACGAACCGGAAACGGCACCAGAAAACCCACCAATGCCCGAAATAGAGCTAGAAGGAATGGAGGATGAATTGGATGCGGATTTTGAAGAAGATCTGGCCCTGGGAATTCTTGAGGATATTGAAGCAGCTATGGGCAATCCAAAATCCAAGACGAATCACGGAGCTGGCAAGATTTGCGATCAACCACCCAAAGCAGCATCTCCTGTATTAAAACAGCCTGTGGAGACCACCAGACGAGCCATACCGAATCGCTACGCAGAAGATCTGGGCTTACAGCGTCCTGCTCCTCCAGTCTCTTTTGCCAAACCGCCTCTTCCACAACGCAACTTGGAACCACGATCCCCATCTCCACCGCACCAAGAACCACCCATGAGCACGCAAGCTATTCTCTTCAACCTGGACGATTTCTTCCCTTCATCGTCTCAACAAGTCCGAGAACTTGAGGAAGAGCTGGATGAGGGCATAATGCCATCTGCTCCTTTACACTTGACCCCTATTGCAGAAGAAGAGGAAGAGGAATCTTTCGATGAAGGACCAGAGAAATCACCAGACCAGCCCCCTTTACCAGCACTCGAACCCGCCTCGGACTCGCCACCTCCACCACCAAGACGCTTCTTCACTTCTTCTGGCTCACACGAAAGAATGTGTCTAGCTCTACAGAGAAGTCGTCGTACAGCTGCATTGGAGAAGATTCAGCAACGCGAGCGAGCTCGTATCCAGGCTGGTATGATCGAGCAAGCCCAAGCAGAGTCCCGCAGAATTTGCAAACCACGTGAAACTACAAGAAAACAGCCACCAGTGTTTTCTAACCCTCCTCCACATGGAGCTCAATGCAATCAACCACGAAAACCTCCGTTCAAGACACCACCTTCACTACACAAAGCACCGCATGCCAGCACGACCACTCCCGCAAAGCGAGCTGAGCCTCAACAACCTAAACAACCTCCTAAGAAGCCCTTACCTAGACTATCCAACAACCCTAACATTATTAACCCTCGGATCCCACCAAAACGAGTAGAGACTCCGAAACAACACCTACCACCACTACCGCAAGAAAGCAAAGAAAACCAAAAGTCGCCACAACAGCCTTTTGCACTTAGTGCTTCGCAAGAGTCATATGGCGGCGAATGGGTCGATGATTTGGACCTAGACTTCATGATATAACGATAAACATGTACCTTGGATGACGACTACCGACATGGCCGAATTGCACAACACTGGGAGGAATTACAGCATGGCATGGGACCACACGATGGATCGGAGTTAAGGGGCATTATATCACCCTTTTTGTACGGGTGCTGGGTGGCAAAGATATGCATGTTTTACTCACGACATAGCGACGGCGTTTAGAATGTTATCCTGTTTTGTTTGAGAAGTGATGCCTTAGCTAGAATTAGTTATTCTACGCGACCAAGCCATCCTTGTCTTTCAACCCCTGGTCCTCACCATGAAATCACATAAATCACCGCTGTACCGTGAAAACAAGCTCTGCAGACTTAAAAAAAAAAGGGGGGGTCTGATAGATACAATCCCTAACGCCAATGCTATGCTCGCAGTGTCCCTATCGTCATTCATGACTTCGTTGGCCCCCCAACTCCCATGATCACAGGTGAGGTTTTTCTCAGGGAAGCAAATCAAAGAAAGATTCCAACCCACTCCGTCTTTGCTGATACCTTGGTATCACAGCCGTCCACTGCGCATCGGAGATCATTTGGAGTCGTGTACGCAGCCCGTCCATCAGGACCTAGGAAGCCTACGCCATCGCGGTTCGCCTTCGTAGGCTTTCTGTTCTCGTAACAATCGGCACAGTAGACCTGTAGATGTTAGTTTCCGGTGGCAATCCACATGCACCACTGCAAAACTCACATGCCCGCACTTCTTTACGGCCCAGAAGTGGTGTTCTCCCGGTGCTCGCTTTCGCTTTCCCTTCTGCGTACCCACAGAGCTCTGTGTCACTGTGCCGCTTGGGTCATAAGCCAGCTCTTCATTACAGGCTGGGCAGATGACCACGCTTTCGGACTCCTTCTCCGGGTCAGTGCAGGTATTGCGAGTGAACCCTTCTCGCGTTGGGGGCGGTGGGGACATTTGTGGCTTCGGGGTCGGTTGTCGGGCGAATGCGTTGCGTGAAATGTCGAGATTAGGTGGGTTGAAAGCTATATCTGCAGCTCCAAAAATACCAGCCAATCTCCTGAAGGGGCCAAAGGCAGCAAAGTTTGGTAGAGATCCCAGAGCTGGCCGCTGGCTTATTATTTCCAGCTCAATCAACTCGTCCGGTCGAGGCACTTCGCGTCTCCCTCTAAAATGTGATCGTTCGTCTTCAGGTGAGTCCGCAGTCAAGTCAATAACATTCGCTGTACGTCCCACGAAAGTACCGTCGGTTCGTGCCAACTGAGGTGGTGATGTGCGCTGGGAATTCGTTCTACGCGGATTCCTTGCAGGTGGTCTCGCGGGCTGAAGAATGTCGAGCCTAGCTCGTGATTGGACGGGAGAATCAGGCTCTTCTGTGAGGTCAATCACAGGGGGAGGTTCTTGTGGTTCTTGGTGTAGTGCCGAATTTCGAGCAACTCGTGAGCGGCGAACGTGGCGTGTGTTGTGATATGCAGCGGGTGCGTTGGGATGTGGGAGAAATAGTTGATCTCCAGTATTTGGCCGTGGTCTGTAAGCGCTTTCGAAAAAATGTTCAAAATCTTCATCCCTTTCCGCCTCGAATATCTCGAGAGGGTCGCTGTTTTCAGCCATGTTGGGCGGGTGGTGTAGGACTTAGGATGCGAGATATCGAGGTGTAGGCGGTTATAATTCGAGATACAATGTGTTCTCTCTTATCGTATTCACGGCATAAAGTCTCCTGAGTATCACCTGAGGCAATGGACACTTATACAGTGAATGGCGGCCCAAGGCGAAGCAGATGAAAAGTGTGGCGATTAGCGAGTAAAGAAAGCTAAGCAAATGCGCGGTGGCAGCAAGACCGAATTATATGATGAGACATAGAATTATGGTCAGAGGTTTCGTAAGCGTCTGTATCGTATCGTATCGTATCGTGGGGAGGCGTGGTCGTGAGGAGGTGAAGGTTGGTAAGCATCAAAGTTAGTTGTATGAAAGGAAGTTGAAATTGAATGTCGCTACTTTGACGATCGATGCAAGGCTGCTCCCCATGTGACGACAGGACTCTAGCGCCTAGAGACCCTGCACTGGCGAACACTGTTTACCCCGCTAAGTAGCCACTAAGAATAGGCTTCAAGGCTTCTCTACAAGGGGTTATGCCGCCTGGCTCCACTGTCAATAGGTACCTTGTTGTATTGAGGCTCATGGTGATTTTTATGATGATTGTTGTGTTGTTGTTTTGGAGGGTCAATAGGTAAACAATACACAAGCTTAGGGGAGGCAAGAAAACTTAGGACCTCTATCCTAAATGACAAAAAAGACCTATGTAATTCAGTATAGATTTAGTAGACCTTAGACTAGTTATTTTTAGTCCCTTATCTAAAGGTCAGAAGTTTTCTTGTTCCCTGAGGACAAGGTGCAATATCAGAGAACCATAATTATCAATTTTCAAACACCAACCTCTGTGCTTTGCTTTGACCCTTTGTTCGGGCCTATAATACAGATTATCAAGGGAATCGTCCAGCCATCTCCTCCTCAATAAAATTCCATCTAAATACCAGTCTATTCCTTTGTTGCAAGTACGCTAACCACACCCTCGCCATTGACTGTTACGAGCTGCTTTGCAGACTCTCCCCACCGAACAGCAACGGAGGGTGTAGAGCTCTTCAAAGGCTCGGTCCACTTCTTGCTGGACTTGGTGAATTGTTGCACTGTAACTCCAGCCGCACCGCCAGTGGCGAGGAACTGGCCACTGTAGTCCCACGCCAGGGACTGGACCGGCCCGCCAGTCTCAAGAACCTTGGCCACCGCCGCGTCTCCCTCTTTACGCAGATCAAAGATAGTGACCATGGTCTGGCCCTTGGCTGTAGCTGCGAACCAGTAACCGTTCTCGGAGAAGCTGAGAGCCTGGATAGGGGCGCCCAAGCTGAAAGAAGCGGCCTGCTCGAGGGTGTTGGTCATGAAGAGCTTGATTTCGCCTGAAGTGGTACCGGCGGCAAAGAGGTGACCATCAGGGTGGAAGGCACAAGATGTAAGAGCTGGGAACACGTTAGCACAGAATAATCCTTTGGTGTACCAGGGGAAACTTACCAGCATCGGTGTAAGCACGGGCGACACGTTTGTGTGCGACCAAGTCGTAGAACACGATGCTCTTATCCGTACCAACAGAGGCCAGAATCTCACCGCAGGAGTGCAGGCTCAATGCTGTAGCAGCACCAGCATGTTCACTCAGTGACGCAACCTGGTTACCCTCCTGGAAGACCTTGACACTGCCTTGGCCAGTCGCAAAAGCGACACCAGCCTCAGCCCAAACAGCGTCTGTGACAGGCTCGCCCACTGAGAGAGACTGCTCGACCTTATCCTCGGTGGTAGAGTAGACAACTGCCTGTCCCTTCAAGCCTCCAACAGCCGCCGCATTGGTTCCTCCGACAGTAAGGGCGGTAGCTTCAGGAACGGGTAGGGAGTGTGTAGTTGCGCTCTCGAAAGCTGAAATCTCTTCGCCGGTAGCCCAACCCTCGGGGACAGGGCGCTTCTTGCGACCCTTTGATAGTCTGCATGCTCGTTAGTTTCGAATCGTATAGTTGTAGGGTTACCACATACGTCTGATGAGTCTCGTCCACCTTGGCAACAAGCTCCTCTGGTAGCTTCTCCACGCTATCGAGCTGCATAGAATCACCATCGACCGCACCCCCCGTCACAGTGACTTTACTCAAAGCATCTCTAGCCTCATCTCGCTCCCTCGTAAGTCGTGCAATAACTCGGACAGCAGCGTCGTGCTGATACAACGCTGTGGCAAGCTCCTCTCTGGTGCGCGCAAGCTGCTCCTTGAGGTTATATGTCTCTAACGCAAGCGCGTCCCATTCGTTCTGGAAGGTAGCGAGAAGAGCGGGAATCGATGTGAGGGTAGGAGGACGCGGTCGGACAATACGCGACGAATGGATAGGGAGGAGGTCATCGGTGGTCAGGGCCTCGCCAGAATCGGGCTCGGTGCCATGTTCGTTGATGTATTGGTCGATAAGGCGCTTCTCGTAAACAACACCTTTTACTGAGTTAGCTATGAAAGCTGCGCGTTGATGATGTTGATAGACATACCAGACTTCTTAGAAACGACGGGCTCTTGAGGAGCCTCTCCAGAAACTGTCAAAACATTAGCGCACCGTTACTTATCAATGACAAAACTGCACAACTTACTTCCACAAAGCATGGCGACTACAAATTTGAGCTCGTGGAGCTTTCAATTGCTGGTCGTCAGGTATAGCGCAAATCAACGTCTCGAAGCTCTGTTGCGACGACAATTGCCTAGTCGAGATTTTGCCAGTGCACTGACCAGAGCTTTGGATCACGGGATGATAAGATAAGGTGGACGGTATCTTATCGTGCATCATCTTGATGCTTGTCTCAACGCGGGGAGCACCGGTAATAGCGAGTTCGCATGTCTCCGTAATCCGATAATTGATGTGACTGCTTGTCGATAACAGCTATTGAGTGATATAGTTATTTTCTGCGTTGTTGGTGAATGCTGAGTATAGATTGAATACGCACTGTGACAATTGGAACGAATAGCACCAATATCAACATCAATCATGGCTCTACCTCAACCTCAAGACCTTCGTGTAGCAGACGAAGCAGAGCAGATCAAGACTTTAGATCTGTTATTCGAGCACAGTCCAGCAATTCATTTAACCCTCCTCCCTACTGTGCGGGACTCTGGGTATACATCATACCCGGAGTTAATCGAGGCCTGCAGAACGCGCCTCGCCTCCCTCGCCTCCTCGAACTCATCAGCCAACCCAGATGAGACTCTTCTCTCAATTCTCGGATCACATCCCCGTTTAGGAGCCAAGAAAGTTGACTCAGCACAGTCAGCTGCAGAGCAGGCCAACCTGCAAGGCCAAGGCGAAGAATTGGCAAAGCTGAACAGGGAGTATGAGGAAAAGTTCCCCGGATTACGATATGTCGTTTTTGTGAACGGACGGGGAAGGCCTGAGATCATGGAGAACATGAAGGCTAGGATTTCAAGAGGCGACTTTTCGAAAGAGGTCGATGAAGCGTTACAGGTATGTGCAAATTGTGTGTTAGAGCCTCTGTTGCTAATTGGGTGTTTAGGCAATGTGTGATATTGCGAATGACAGAGCCTCTAAACTTGGCGTGAAGCCATAAACATAATCACTTATCAATAACAATCTGTTACCCGTTGCTTGAGCTGTGGTGTATCTAAGCCTCCCCATCTGGCCGAATAATAATACAAGCCAGTATAGCCTATTTTTGTCCCGGTCCTTGCGGCTGGATAATGCTTCAATATCGCCATATTGAACATGAATAAGAACATATTGCCACCCAATGCTAGAAGTATACTTTACATAATTCCTTTAAATGCTCTAGATGCTCCCCGAGATGCCCAGAGACGCCACTATATATTTGCCTAACTATCTCGACATCCAGCAGATGCCGTCGAGTTCGTCGAGATACTCCTCATACGATCTGTCTTCTTCGCCATTGTTGCCATCATCGCTCTGTCCAAATAAAACGCTGAAGTCAGAATATACACTATCTTGATCATCGCCCACGTCGTCCCAGTCGTCATCTGCAGGGTGCATGTATGCAAAACTATCCTCTTCGAGATCGTCCAGCGGAGGTAAAGGTGCTGTAGGTCGTAACTCCGGTGATGGGATGGGGAAGAGTCGGGGTGATGTACGCTTTTTCGTTGCAGCGACATCACTAACAGGTAGGGGAAGGGCCACGGGATTGGATAGTCGACACGATGTGGGCTTTGGATGTTGAAATATCTTTTGAGGTGGGTGGTTCGGTTGAAGTCTAGCCGACGATACCATCATGCCTGAAGGTCCAATAATTCCGGTGCCCGTTGGTGAGATCCTCAGAGATTTGCCTGCCGAGGCATCCTGGAGCATCGGAGGTCGCCAATTCGTCTTGCCGGCAGCTTTCGATGTGATAGTTGCAATTTCCTGCTCATATTTCTTGTTGCCTGCGGCCTGGCCAAGACTCAACCTCTTCCTCAAACAATTCATTGTCGAGAAGCGGAGGAATGAAGTTGCATGAAGATGTGCGATCCTTCGGGTCATATCAACTGAAGTAGCCATCTTTAAGAATCGTTTATCGCCAGCTTCTTGACCTTCTCGGTTTAGAATGTGAGTTGCAGGTTGGGAATAAGGCTGAGAAAGACGGCTGGTGATGAGTTCAGCACGAAGCCGACGTTTCTTGACACACAGGTCGGCCGTGTTGAAGCCATCGACATCGGACTTGCAGCGTTTTCTCTTGATCCCGCGAGGTCCCGTTAATAACAGTTGAGGCCGTATGTCTAAAGGGCTGGATTTGTTTCTTGTATCCTCTGTTGACGGAAATGAGAATCCCGGACCTTCGGGTCGGGACCTCGGGATTAACGCTTCTTTTCCATTTGGCTTCCGATGACATTCGGTACTTTCTGCTTTCCGGACAGTACGATACTTAGAATCTCCCATCAATGCTTCGAATAAAGGGTCTGAGCCGGAACATCTTGGGACTTGAGTCAAGTCATCGGAAGCGAGATCCAGTGGAGAAATGGGGAGGTCATCGTGGCAACCGCCTGCAGAATGGCAGCGCCAGGGCTCAAGAAGATTGATTGAGCTCTGTCCATTAGCCTCTACCTCCATTACGACAGCTTGCGCTTCGTCTGAGGGGTGGGGTGCTGTCAGAGCTGCCTGGTCCGATCCATCCGCTTTAACCAGTATGAAACAAGATGAGAGGATGTGCTGGCCAGGTGTTAGAAAAGCCGAGGAGGAGAGATCTGGCCTTCAGTGCCGAAGAGTTTCAGCTGATAATGATTCGACTTGGAGATGTAATCACAAGTTTGATCTGGTGATGCGTGAAGAGCTGGGTATTTGAAATGTCCGGCTATGACTTCAACCAAATTGACGCAACTCGTTTGACCTCAATGTTGCAGCAGAGTCAAGTCAGGACAGTTCCATACATCTAATATGCCTCTCCCAAGCCTCTCAGGCCGTCAAG